TGCTAACCAAAAGGTCGGCAGTTCAAATCCACCAGCCCGTCCTTGGAAACCCTATGGGACAGTTCTACTCTGTCCTGTAGGGTCGGTATGAGTTGGAATCGACTTGACAGCAGTGTTTTTGTTTGTTTTTTTTTAATGGCTTGGGTCAGACGCACCTTAGTCCTCAAGTGATGTTTTTGCTTTTTAACACTTGAAAGAGATCTTTTGCAGCAGATTTGCCGAATGCAATAAATGTACTGTTTGATTTCTTGTCTGCTGCTTCTGTGGGCGTTGATTGTGGATCCAAATAAAATGAAATCCTTGATGACTTCAATATTTTCTCCATTTATCATGATGTTTATTATTGGTCCAGTTGTAAGGATTTTTGTTTTCTTTATGTTGAGGTGCAATCCATACTGAAGGCTGTAGTGTTCAATCTTCATCAGTAAGTGCTTCAAGTCCTCTTCAGTTTTAGCAAGCAAGGTTGTGTCACCTGCATATCGCAGATTGTTAATGAGTCTTCCCCCAATCTTGATGCCACATTTCTTCTTCATATAGTCTAGCTTCTCAAATTAATTGCTCAGCGTACAGATTGAATAAGTATGGTGAAAGGATACAACCCTGATGCACACCTTTCCTGACTTTAAACCACTCAGTATCCCCTTGTTCTGTTCAAACGACTGCCTCTTGGTCTATGTTGAGGTTCCACATGAGCACAATTAAGTGTTCTGGAACTCCAGTTCTTCACAATGTTATCCATAATTTGTTTTGATCCACACAGTCGAATGGACTTACTAGATAACACATTTTTGGAACCTGCAGAGAAAAAAAAACCCACATGCACCAAATAAATTACAAATAAATCTATCAAAAATAAAATTAATTATGGCACAGATTGTTTTTATTTCTCATTTCTCTGGCCTGACCACCTACAGTGTGTTAGAGCTGTAGCTTTAAACACAAGTATAGAAATATTTTATGGGAAAGACAAGTTAAAGTTAGATATTTTAAATGACTTCCTCAGAGATATGACAGGACAGAACATACAGCTCTTAGAAATGGTCATAACTTTTGATGAAATATTTATTACCTAATGAAATAATCAGAAATGTGCAAAAAGTATTTTGTGTATGATTAGCTTTATTTGGGAGCCCAGGTGGTGCAGTGGTTAAAGAGTTCGGCTGCTAACAGAAAGGTCAGTGATCTAAACCCACAAGATGCTCCATGGGAGACAGATGTGGCCGTCTGCTTCCGTAAAGATTACAGCTTTGGAAACTCTATGAGGCAGTTCTACTCTGTCCTATAGGGTTGCTAAGAGTCAGAATCAACTCCATGGCAGTGGGTATAGATTTATTTATAATAGGGGGAAAATAAAGCCCTAAAAACAATCAAAATGCTCCAAAATAGAAGATACGCTATATAAATTGTTGTGTGGTGTATACTATTCTGTTATGGCCTAGTGGTTAAGTGAATGGGCTAGAAGCAGACTATATTCATTTGAATCCCAGTCCTGCCACTTAGAAGTCATAGGAATTTGGGTAGATGACCTAACCTCTCTGTGCCTTAGTTTCTTCATCTTTGAAATGTCACGTGTTCTAATAAAATTGTAATGATGATTAAATGACAATGGTGACTGGCACTCAGTAAGTATTTAATAAGTATTAGCTATTATTATGAAATACTATATAACCATTAAAAATAAGAATATTTTAGACTAGAAACTATCTTAGGACATGGTTTGTTTGAAATATATTGTTAGGTTAAGAAAGCAAAAGACAAAATACTATGCACAGTGAAAATTTTCTAAATTAAAAGTATGTATGTATGTGGTATCAAATTGACAACAGCAACTCAAACAGTTAGCAAGCTTAGGGGGCAGTGAGTTTATGTTAATGGTGGGGGGGGGCAATTCAGAAAAACAGGGTGGGAATGGTTGTACAATTTGAAGAATGTAATCAGTGTCACTGAATTGTACATGTAGAAATTGTTGAATTAGTGTATGTTCTATTGTGTATATTTTCAACAACAAAATAAATTTTTCAAAAAGTATGCATATATGAATTTATACATATATTAGTGTATATCTATATATATGCATGCACATATACATATATACAATGCTAGAAGGACATATTAAAATGTTGTCAGTAGTTATTTCTATGTAGTGGAATTGTGATTTTTTTTTCTTATTTATTCAGTTCTATATTTTCTAAGTTCCTCTAATAGAAATATGGTATATTTATAATAAAGAAACAAAATAATTCATTCAAAAATAATTTATTCAAAAAAATACCTTTTCATTCATACGCTCTGTCTCAGTATAAGAAATTTTGATGACTTCCAAAGATTTGGGGCTAGAATACTGCATCATATAATTGAACAATTTTCATAAACCAGCTACTTTATTGCTGGAGAATCACTGTACCTGAATTATAAGAAATTATTTTTTACAACTGAACATTGTGCAGTACTTCAACATACCTGACATTTTAGTTAGAACATATTATTTAAGAAGAATTTGCAAATGAGTGTCCATAATCTCCTAAATCACTGAATTTAAACCAAAATAAACTCAAATGTACCACAGAAAAGTTAAATGTAATGGATCAGGTAATGCAATGGACTTCTCATTCAGTGAACCCTGCCATCAGCCAAATGCTACTTATCTACAGGAAATTGTTTAAGTTTCAAAGATTTGGATTTTTTTTTTAACTAGTAAGGTCAGAGAATGAGGCGTCTTTCCAGAGTCTAAAGTTCATTTATATGAATCTCCCTAATTAGCCAAAAGGATTCAGGAATTTGTTTCTCTGAGAATTTTAAAGAGAAACTCTCCTATCTCGCCCCAACCCCACTAGGAACTGTGAGGCCTCTTGGGCAAAGGGTGAGTCCATCCCACCTTAATGATACTTCTCAGTATTTTTTGTTATAAACTAAGCAACCGAATTGTGATGTTTGTGCCTCAAGAAATTAATAACAGTTCCTGCCTCAAATAACAATAAATGCCTGAGATATTAAAAATGCCTGCATTTCCCTGAACTTCCTATTCAAGTCCATATGCCTTCCATGTGTAAGGGTGTCACAGCCATTATAATCTGCAGGGTGCCTTCAAAGGACACCCACTGAAATTGTTGGAATTAGAGACACAAATTAAACTTTTTACAACCTCTGTTTTCTCTGTTGCCAGAATGATTTGTTCGGAACAATCTCCTGAATTTTGATTGTTTTAAGCGAAAACATTCCTTTTTCTCCAACAAATCAATTTACCAGGCCACAAAGCTTGGGAAAAAGTTAGAAAATGACAAGCAGAGCATAGCTGAGAGAGGACCCCACCCAAAAAGTGAGTTTAGCAGAGGCCTCAAGGATTCGCGACTATTGAAGCCTGGGGAATGAGCAGGAAAGACAAAGAAATATCTGGATGACCACACCTTGTGAAAAACCTCTCCTTCTTTTCTTCACCTTATTTTGAAAATAATCCTTGGGCCCCCAAGCAAAGAACAATTCTGGGACAGGCCCAGGGCATTTCAACCATTAAAAGCAACTCTACTTAGTCTTTTCATTACTCTGTTTGGGCAAGCAAAACAAATACAGCAAATAAATAAACCATATGTAGGTGAAAAATTTAAAAAAAAATTTTTTTTTGCCCCAGGATGCAGTTTATTAATTTTTACCAAGAAATGCACCTCCAAGTGGATTAGAGTGCTCAATGCATTCTCTCCCTGCTGGAAGGCATTCTTGGCAAACTGAATTAGTATCAGAGGGTTGTTTGATGAATGTGGAATAAAGGCAAAGGGAGTTGTGGAATGGTTTGATTTGTTCATTCTTTTTTCTTTTTTCTAGGAATAATTTTTTTTATTGTGGTAAATACGTATGTAACAAAGCATTTGCTATTTCCACAATCTTCATATGTACAATTCAGTGACCTTAATTATGTCCATCATGTTGTTCAGTCATTGCCATTAACAGCTCCCAAGTTTTTCCAAAATAAGTTTTTAATCAGACATGCAGAATTTAATGAAAACAAAGTCCCTAAAATACAGTATGTGGTTTGAGGAATCAAATTCCAAGCTGAGAAAAAAAATACTTTATTCATTCATTCCGGAAGTATTATTGAAGACTTTCTATGTACAAGGCACTTTGTTAAGCAGTGAGAATTCAGAGGTGAACAAGGTAGTCCAAGTGCTTGTCTTCCAGGACCTGGAGATAGATAATAAACTAATAAGCAAATAAATTATATAACCTCAGGTATGATAAGTGCTATAAGGAAAAGTAAGAATTTTAAACAAGTGTTACTTACTGTTTGTACTTTTGTTTTAGGGAAGTATACTGTTAGTATCTAGTCTTCTCCTGCCTCTTTAACTGAATCACAACTAAAAGCTAATCCAGGGATATCAAAGAAAGCTTTTTGGAAATTGTGTTGGTTTTCTGTTGCTGCCGTAACGAATCACCACAAACTTAGTGGCTTAAAACAACACAAATTTATTATCTCACAGTTTCTGTAGGTCAAAAGTCCAGGTGGGCTTGACTCAGTCCTCTGCTTACAGTCTCACAAGGTGGAAATCAAGGCTGCCCCTTACTGCAGTTTCCTTACTTGGAATAAGCTTCCAAGCTCCTTCAGGTTGTTGCTCCAATTCAGTTCCTTGCAGTTGTAGGACTGAGGTCCCTGTTTCCTTGCTGGCTGTCCACATTTCTTTTCATCATTTACAGCAATGAGTTGAGTCCCTCCCATGCTTTGAATCTCCCTGACTTCCTCTTCTGCCCTAAGCTGGGAGAAAATTCCATGTTTAAAGGTTCATGTGACTGCAATGGACCTATCTGGGTAATGCAGTATAATCTCCTGATCTAAAGGTCCTTAACCTTAATTACATCTGCACAGGCCATATAACATAACATTCACAGGTTCTCGGGATTAGGACCATTTTGCCTACCACAGATAAACTACAATATTTTAAACAATGGTTTCTGTTTACTTACCCCCAAAGAATCTGCACTTAACGAATGCTGGGCTGTTCTTCTCTTTCTAGGACATTCACTTGGCCAGGAGATTATATGACATGGCTGCTCAGACAAGTCCAGATGCACACATACCTGTCTTCTTTGCCCTCATGAAACTGGAAACTGTGCATTTCCTCCGAGATATCCTGTTTTTTAACGTAAGTTTGTCTTGAGTAGGTCTCAAATCTCTTGAAAGCTAAAATGGGTAACTCTTAGGGAAAGAGGGAAAGAGTAAAAAACCCCCCCAGGAGCAATCTTTTGTGGATTGGCTTTCCTTTAATAAGTAGAATTCAAAGCCCTATACTTACCACACAGGGCAGTTCTGCTTGTTATACTGAGTATATGTTGATACTTCATAGCACGACCGGTGAATGCACTCAGCAGATATTTTTTTGAGCACCTACTATGTTCAAAGCCCTAAGCAAAGTGACATGTGTTGTATATACTTGTTCGAAACATAGTACTTGCCATCAAGACCTGAGACTTGTAAGCAGATGGCAGGTGGCAAGTGGTACCACAAAAAATATAGTTTGAAAAAAGTAGAAATTAAGTTTTATAAATCTTTGTGGTTATTCTAAAGGTGCTAATTAATCCCTCTGTGAGAACTGTAAGCAAGCAAAGGCTGTGTCTTTTAAGACTGAAGGAAGTAAAGGGTCAGGGATGGGGTGGAGTGTGGGAGGGGTGAGGTTGTTAGGGGTGGGATGAGAGGAGATGATGATCGTGAAAGGAGAGGGAGGCTCGGACTTCCTTTTGACAGAGTATGTCTTGCCCGCAGTTTACAGTGAGATGGAAATGGATGAAATTGGATGATACCCTTGGACCATACTGGGATTTATTTGTGATTGGCCTGATTGTTGCCTTGCTGATCATCTTGCTTAGAAATCACCGTGGGTAGGATCTGAATCATGAGAAATCCTGCTCTGTGGAAACAGTTCACTCCAAGGCATCCTTGCTAAATAAAGAATTTCCTCACCAAAATCAAGTCAGCTCCAGATTGCCTACACAGGCCTGTGGTGGAAAGTGGACAAAGTTTGAGACATCAGAGAAACCACTTCACAGTTCCTGCTTGGTCAAGTTGACCTCTCAGGAGGAGGTGGGGCAGGCCACCTAAGAATTAATTACAAACTTGTGATCTTGGTGATTTAGGGGAAAAACACCACCCATTGTCACACCGTTGATTATAACAACCTTTCCCTTTGCAAGAGGATGAGCTGGGTTTCTTGACTCCTACAGATAAAATGGGGTGAGGAAAGGGGGAGTTTGGGTAGGGCAGGAACAGAGATCCTTCAGAAGCTGATTAAGACAAAAATTACAAATAGACCTTTCATCTTGTAGGAATGATCCTGTGAGCCACATGTAGCCCTATTGAGCAACAGCTCCTCATGCATGCTGTGCCTGGGGGATTGACTTGGACTTGTCACAGAGGAGCCAAATAGCAAAACTCTCTTAGTAATTGTGTGGTAAACAATGCCAATTTGTGTCTCTGCAGCATTGTACCCCTCTCCCCTGCTGCTGATTGAAACCCTGTTCTGCTTGGGGAATCTTCATTGGCATACTCCCAGAGGAAGATGGTACCAACCTCCTGGGACAGAGGCTAAAGGGTCCAAATTCTCTCTCTTGACCAACAGTAGAGCTGGGGCCTAGGGCTGGGGGGCACGGGCTGGTGGAGAGAGTGCAGAAGATCTGTGACTAGGCATGAATCTCATCTATTCCTTGCTATTCTACTTCTCTGAACCTCAGTTTCCGGATCTGTAAAATGGAAAAACGATACTTATCTTTTTGTTAGCTTCTGTCAAGTGGGCCCCGAACTCATAGTGGCCCCATGCACAATAGGACAAAAAGCTACGTTGTGCATTGGACCATTGTGATCCACAGAGTTTTCACTGACTGATTTTTGGAAGCAGATCTCCAGGCCTTTATTTATAGTCTGTCTTAGTCTGGGAGCTCTGTTGAAATCTCAGCAGCATCACAGTCGCCCACAATCAACCACTGATGGATGGTGGATGCTCATGAGATGTATTGCTAGGAATCAAGCCCAGGCCCCCCACATGGAAGGTGAGAATTCTACCACTGGACCACACATCCTCATAATACCTATTTTAGAGAGCTAGTGTGAGGATTAAGTGGGATGATGTATGTAAAGGAACTAGCACAGGGCCTGGGGCCCTGGTGGAGCAGTGGTTAAGAGTTTGGCTGCTAACCAAGAGGTCGGCAGTTTGAATTTACCAGCCACTTCTTGGAAACTCTATGGGACAGTTCTACTCTGTCCTATAGGGTCACTATGAGTCAGAATTGACTCGATGGCAACGGGATTGGTTTTTTTCAATTTAGCACAGGGCCTGGCACCTAGAATGAGCTCCATAAATGGTAACTTTTAACACCCTTGAAAAACTCATAGCAAATAGGTTGGAATATAGGGACAGATGAGTTGATAATGATCTGGGTGGCATCCATGCCCTGCAGTTAGTCCTGCAGTCAAAATGCTGGGGGTTTTAGTCGAAAAAAGTCCTGCTTGCATACTTAAAAAATCCAACCTAAGGACAGAAATAGATCCAGTTTCTAATGTCAACCATAATCAGAAAGTAGAATGGAATGGTGGGGAAGTTTTGGGTTTGGAACCAAGTAACCTGGACTTGAGGTCTGGCTCTGTCCCTTAGTTCTGTGACATGGGCAAGTTGCCAAACTTCTCCAAGCCTCAATTCCATCTCCATAAAACGGGATTGCTGGAGAATTGTGATGCTCAAATAAACCTAACTTATAAAGTACTTTATAACCAATAGCATGTATGCGTATTAGCCACTGTCGTTTATTTTGGCCATGAGCTAAAGCAGGCCTGAGGTCCAAGTGTTTAGAATTTCCTGGATATGGTCCCTATTGCAAAGGGGGTTCCAGTTCCAAAGGATCTAGCATAATCTATACAAACACACAAGGAATGAGCGGGGATCCAGACCTCAGGCCAGGGCCCAATGGACAGGCCAGCTCTGTAATTATATCTCACAGGGCTCTGGAATGTGAGCAAGTCAGAGGGGAGGATAAGGACAAAGACAGGAGAGTGAAAGGCAGAGTTCTGGCTCCAAGACTGAGTATGAAATTAGCTCCCTAGCGGTAAGGCTTGTGAAAATAGTTGTAGACTGGGAAGAAAGGGAGACTTTTTGTGGCTTGTCGTACAGGGTAGAGTACAGCCTGCAATATAGGAGAAGGGCAGCATGGGCTCATAAATTATCTATTTCATCTAATTGTTCCAAGTAAATATGAGAAATGGGGCAGGCTTTGAAAGTACGAGTGGTTTAGGGTTTTGAATCATTAAAATGTTCCTTCCTGGGCCTCTTCTCTGGAGCAGCCACTGTAGCAGTGCCCACCACGTGGGGATGGATGAGCACCTACCAGCACCTGACCAAGGGACAAAGAGCCTCCACCTTAAAGCCATTTATTTTCTGATTATGAGAATCCCACCTAGTCCGCAGACACACAGAGCCCTGTTCTTTTTATACTTCTGATAGCTTTTAAATAAAAACTGACAGCCTGTGGACATGATGCAGCTTTTTATCTAATTCTTTTTTGTAATCCCCTTTATCTCCTTCCCTGATTCTTTATTAGAGTAGCTATTCAAGTCAGTGCATTTTTTAAAAGTCAGGTAAGGCACTAAAAGACAAAAATTGTATGATCCCACTTACATGAAATATCCAGAAGAGGCAAATACATAGAACCAAAGTTCATTAGTGGTTACCTGGTGCAGGTGGGAGTGGGGTGTGAGGAATGTTGAATAATTCTAAGAGTCGAAACAAAGTTACAACAATGCTAGAGATTGATTAGTCGATCATATAATTTGCAAATTGGGTAACACACAGTATGAGACTGAGTGTTGAAGCTGAGATGAGGCAGTATGGGGTTTTTATCATCCAAGGAACAAAGAGAGCCAGTGAAGTCCATTTTGGCTATTTATCAAAGTGTCCCTTGGAAATCCATTCCTCCTCTGAATTGTGTTTGGCTAAGAAGACAAAATGACGCAGGTCTCGATGGGTCAGCACCTGCTGAGCAGGCTCCCAGATAGCTAGGCGTCTGCTTGTCTGGAATGTAGGAGTTAAAGAGCAGAAACTGTTAATTATACATAAATCTACAGAACAAGCTACTATTTCTAAAAGTTAGATTACTTACTATCTTAAACTTTAGCGCTGTGAAACCAGGTAGCAGCCATGCTCTTCCAGGCTTGGCATAAGTGACTCCATCTTGTTTTTAGCTTCCCCAGCACAGGAGGTATTGCTTAAATGGTACAGAGTTTTTGGTAAGGGTGATTAAGAAAAAACTGGAAATGGGTGGTGGTGATTGTTGTACAACATGATGAATGTAGTTGATGTCACTGAATTGTACACATAAAAATGGTTGAAATATGTTGTTGATATATTTCACCACAATAAAATTTTTAAAAAGGTCAGGTAAATATATATACACATATACATACATACATATATATGTGTGTGTATATTTACCTGACCTTTTTAAAAAAAATTTTATTGTGGTAAAATATATTCAAATACATATATATATATATATATATATTTTTTTTTTTCCCCCTAGAGCAGGGATCCACAGTCATTTTATGAGTAGCATGCCTTTGTAGTTCTATGCTTTTCCCCAAAGTCTTGAATGTTGGGTTTTAACAGGTATGGCAGTGAGTGGCCAGGGAAGAGACAGAGGATAATGAAGTCCTGAGGGAAGCAGGGGAAGGTGCTGTTGCTTGCTACATTCCAGAAAGCCATAGAGAATAGGGTGTGATTGGGACAAGGCTTCAAACTGGTTGGTTCCAGTTCAAACTCCTGCTGAGAATTTGCATTTCCAACAAGTTCCCAGGAAGTTATACATAAGAATCACCTGGGGATCTTGTTAAAATGTAGATCCTGATTCAGTGTATCTGGGGTGGAAAAGAAAATTCTCAGCAGGGATTCGAGCCCAAATGAACCTGTTGGAGGCCCTGGATAGGAGCAGCCAATGGCAGTTATCATGAGACTGAGAAGAGGAGAAGGGAGCACTGTGGAGCATTGACTATATGCCCGACTATTTACTTTTCTCTCATTCCGTCTTTATGATGAGGCTGGGAGGTAGAAATAACTACTCATATTTTACACATGAGTAAAATGAGGCTAGGCAAAGCTAAGTAACTTGTCAAGTAAAGATCACATAGCTGATAAATAATGGAGCTAGAATTTACATTCAAATCTGACTCTAAAACAAATTCTTTCCTCCATATTACTGTTCCAGTTATCTCTTGCTACTTAACAAACTACTCCAAAACTTGGTGGTTTGAAACAACAATCATTCTGTCTCATGATTTTGTGGGTCAAGAATTCAGGCAGGGCTTGGCTGGATGATTCTTCTTTTCCACATAGCATCAACAGAAGTCACTTGGTGGTGTTCATTTGATAGATGGGCTCTTCTAGAGAGTCCATGACAGCTTCACTCACATGGCACCTTTGTGGGGATGGCTGGAAGGCTAGGCTAGGCTAAATATTGACCAGAATGCCTGCATGTCACATGTGACCTCTTTAGTATGGCAGACTCACAGTAGTTGGATTTCTTGCATGGAAGCTCAGAAGTCCCTGAGAGAGAGTTCATAGAGACCCAGGCAAATGTTGTAGGCTTCCTAAAACCTACCATTGGAAGTTCTAGAACATTACTTCTGCCATTTTCTACTGGTCAACCATTATACTCAACCTCTCAATGAGAGGAGTAGAAAAGAATTTGCAGCCATAGTTAATCTACTACAAATATACTGTTTTAAAAAATCTACCAGGAGTTACATAAATTCCAGTATAAATATTTCAGAAGAAAAGTGCAGCCCAGGCACTGAGCCACTTATCTTGGAAGGCAAAGATTGGACAGAGTAGTCAGATCCATGCATAGCTCTCTTTGTTTTCCTATCTTCCAGGCTGAAGAAGTCCATGTTTCTGACAGTAATTCGAGGGAAGAAGAGATATCCTCCTCTTTTCCTCAGCCAGGCAAAACACA